GTGTTCTCACTTCAATCCCACCCAATCCACACCTCCCCACAGTCTTCCCCTTTCCCTTGCCAAGTTCAGAGTCCATCATCCACCACTCTATTCATTTGACAAATCCCCAAATCTAGTTAAATCCACCTCTTCCACTGTGCTTCTGCCTAAGCATGGCAGGAGAAAAACAAACAAACAATGATTAGTCTCTGTTAAAATTTATGACCACAAATCTCAAGTGGGCTCTCATTACTGCTGCATATTCTTACTGCATTTTCCTATCCAATTTCCTTTCTCCCTTTGCTGGGAGAATATTTTGTATCTATTTTTCTCTTTAAACATCCAGATCTTCATTCTCAGCTAATTATTTCATTATTTTACTTAGAAAGTAGAATAATTCAGAAGAGAACTACCTTATATTCCCAAAACCATATCTTCCAATCTATTTGTTTTAAGTGTCTATACCTCCACACTCTTTTTTTTCCTATTAAAGTGAATGAATTGGGAAAAAATACCCAAAACAATTTTGAAGAACAGAAAGAAGGACTGACATTCTAGATATCAATATTTATTATAAAGCTATAATAGTTAAGAGGGTGCAATATTGGCACAAAGAGAACAACGGAATGCAATAGAGTCCACAAACAGATCAAACGTGCATTCCTCTGACTTATGAAAAGTACAATTCCCCTGCAGTACAATGGAAAAAGTATGTTTTTTAAAATAAACAGTGTGAGACAAATGGATACAGACGTTGGAAAAAAAAAATCCTGAACTCTCACTTATACCAGACTAAAATTAATTTCAGATGAATTATGGATTTAAATATAAAAATGAAACAACATTTTAGGGGAAAAAAGACCATTGTCATGATCTTGGGGTAGGCAAGAATATCTTAAATAGGACATAAAAAGAAAAAGATTATAAAGTGGATTACAATAAAATTAAAACCTTCTCTTCACCAAAAACACTTATTAAAAGAGTGAAAAAGCAAGGCACAGAGTGGAAGAGGATATTTGCAATACAAATATCTGACAAAAGAATAGAATATATAAATAACTACCACAAATCAATAAGGAAAAAGCAATCACCTAAAGATAAAATAGGCAAAAGACTTGAATAAATACTATTTAAAAGGGGATATCCAAATGATTCATAAAAATATAAAAAAAGATGCTCAACTTCATCAGTCAACAGAGAAGTGCACATTTAAACCACAATGGTATGCCAGTGCATAAAAGCCAGAATGGCTAAAAGTGAAAAAGGACAATACCAAATGTTGGCAAAGATGTAAAGCAAATGGGATTTTCCATAGAATTTCAAGTGAGAGTGTAAAGTGGTAGAAGCACTTTGGGAAATTATTGGGCAGTGTCTACAAAAACTGAACATACACATCCCTATAACCTAGCAATTTCTCCTTGATAGATAACCAAGAGAAATGCATATATATATATGTTCACCATAAAACATATACAAGTATTTTTATGGCAGCACTAGTCATAATAGCCTAATGCTGGAAACAACTCAAATGTCCATCAACAGTAGAGTGGGTAAATATTAATAAATTGTAGTATATTTATACAAAGGAAAACTATTCAGTAATGAGAATGAATGAATTCTAACTACAGGCAATGACATGGAAAATGTTACAAATACAATGTTAAAAGAAAGAAGAGCCAGACATAAAAGAGTATCTTTTCTGTAATTCATTTGTATAAAGTTCGAAAACAGGCAAAATTAATTTAAAGTGTCAGAAATCGGGAAAGTGATAACCCCTGGTGAGTGGCAGCAGTTGGGTAGGAGGTTGTTTTAAGCAAAATGAATTTATTAAATGCCTTATTATAAACACACACTATTTATTTACCTTTGCATTTGTTAATAGTGATCATCATAGCATTTCAAGTGGGATAAATAAATAACAAAATAGTAAAAACAAAATTATTTGTGTCAAAGATATGAATTCAGTTGAGATTGCCAATCTTTCCTACTCTGCTCTAAAGTCTACATAAAACGCATGTCTAAATTTGGCAAAACTTATAATTCTCTTTCTGAAGCCTTCATCATGGTCTCTTTTAAGAAAAAAAATGATGTCATTTCTCCATGTCTTTATTTACAAAACTGTAAAAGGGAAAAAGTGAGAAAATTACTTTTAAATAAATCAAATGCAGGCAGCCACCTTCCCAGTTAACCTTTTATCTCATCCAGCTGATTCTGGACACTGAGAAGTGCTGTATCTCAGAGCCCAGTGTAAGAACCCCTGCATCACTACCCTCTTGGACTCTGTTGCCACATCCATAAAAAATGAGGATAACAATAGCAACTACCTCATAGAGTTGTTGAAAGGATTAAACGAGGCTATGCATGTAAAATCCGTTATTCTCGAACACAGTGACTGCTCAGCAGACGAATACTAACACTCTTAATTTATTACTAATAGTGCTATCATCAGAATAACTTGATATGCTCATTAAATCACTATTGATTTCTGGGCTCAACCGCAGACCTACTGAAGCTGAGTCACTCATTGGGCCCAGGAATCTGCTTTTTAGCTAGCATTTTTGGGTGCTTCTTTTTGCACACTCAAATATCAGAATGACTAACCAGAAATTAGGGCTACTTCTTATTTGTTCCTCACAGCTCCAACACAGGAGTCTGCACACAATGAATGCTTACTGACAGGCTGGCTGATACTCAATATTGCCAGACTGGTGTCGTGTAAATTATTAAAGGAATCTGGAATTTGTCATAGATTTGTGTAGTAGGAGGAAATAGGTTTTTACATTTTGACTCCAGAAAAATATAAGGGGAGGGTTTTTTTGTTAATATTATCAAAAGTAACTTCAGCTTCAATCATTCTGAGTTGACTCTTTCTTCATCATGTGAAGATATGAATATTTGAATCCTCTAAGGTTTTACATAACCTATTTTTCCCTTAAAATAATTCAGTGCGTTTAGTTTTTTATTGCTTTCTTTTTCAATTTAGAGGATCCAGAAAGCATAGACATGTTTGTGGAGAGGACAAATGACCATATTCTCTGGGCTCTACATAATTAATATTGAGCCCAGAACTGGGCTTCCATAACCACTTTCTCTCTTACTTCTGTGTTCATTTAAAGGAAAGTTCCAGCAATTTGTCTAAAAGGAAAATTGCAAGTGAAAACATCGTCACCTGTTTAATTCAAATAGAAATTTAAGTCAAATCATAGTAGCTATTTGAACTCCTCATGTATAAAACAGTTTTACAACTTGTTGCACTGAATAGAAATTTCAAAAGGAAAAGAAATCTTCTCATTAGATGTTTGATTGCATTGAAAGTAGAGAGGAGTCAACCTTTGACCAAAGAGAAAAATTAAGAATTATTTCTAGCTTAGTTTCTGTTTCATCCCATTAAATAAACATAAAGGTTCAAAGATAAAACCTAGATATTTTATCAGTGCAAGATAATGTTTAAGAACAGTTTTTTTTTTATGTGAAAAGCCTTGAACATACGCTTTATTGTGAAAAATAAATTCATAGAATTCAGTTACGTATTTTCAACTACCGTTGGCTATCTGTGTAAATCTAAATTGTATAAGTTAGTTGAAGAGGTCCAGTGATGCTTTATCACGCATTCAATATTTAATATTGAGTATCAGTCAGCCCGCCAAATATAGGGGTGATTGGGATTAAACATGAAGAACTTGACCTCCATGCTGCCAGACAGGCATGGTATTTTCCAGCCAACACTCTTTTCCTTTATAAAAATCAAATGTTCTTGACTTTCTGATGCCACAATTAACCTTTCAAATGGCTCTGAGTACAGTGAGACTTCTTTTTCTCTCTCTCAAGAGAAGGAAGGATGGGATTTTCTTTTTTTTTTTTCTTTTCTGGCAGTGATGCTAAGTTCTGACAGTTTGCTAAGCAGTGGAAATCATGCTGTAAGCAAAAGTCTCTGCAAGACAGAGATTCCTACAAAATAGTCTTTATTTTTCCAGTGGATACTGGCGACTCTTACAGGATCTGACTCCAAGAACAACTTCACTGAAGCGAGGGTTCCCAGCCCTGCTACTGAAATCACAAGACACATAGACTGAAACTACTAGGGCTTCTCTTCTATCTCTGTCCCACTTAATGCCTGGCCCTCCGAGTTGACGTCCATCCCACAGGCTAAATCTGGACATCCAAGTCAAACGTCCAAACAGTCTATATTCTGATAGGATGGAGTAAAAGTATGAAAATGCTTGAACACCTTAAGTAGAAGATTTAGCTATCTAGAAAAGCACCAACAATATTGAAACCACTTTACTTAAGCATCCAAACAATCTGATTTTCATTAATCAGAAAATTTCCAGACATGTAAAAAGTAGCAGAAAACTTCAGATGAAGTCTGACTCCTGTTGAGTGTTTGCCATTGAATTTCCTTGCATCATGAACACTACCTTGGTAATTAAATATGGCCTTCATTAGTAATCTCACAAGAGAAAATTACCTATCAAAGACCAAGCAGAGTCATGTGTACACTGGTCATATTTCACATTACCTTCCATTCATTTCCTTGGCCCCCTTTTCTCTCTGCCGTGATCCACGGCTTTGATAATTAAATTCTAGATTTAAGGACAAACCAATAGTCACAGACAATTTTGGTCTTTCTTAGCAGTGATAGTGAGTGTGAATTCTATTGTGACACCTGAAGCCAAATCCGAGCATGCTCAAAAGTCAGAATAGATTTGGAATAGGAGACCACTTCCGGAGATCTCTGGTTGGTGAGTGAGTAGTTCACAAGTTCTGGTCTCATTTTAAAACTCACAGCTGGCTCTGAGAGTAAGGAAAACCAGACTAGACCAGTGAGTGACTACATTGTTGAGATCATTAATAGGGCATCATTTTAATAATCACCATAACCCAGTACCATACATCATTCATTCATTCATTCATTCAGTTGCTCCCCATACTTTCTGTTATTCTCTTAAATTAGGGGCTGGATCTTAATTAAATGCTTAAGATTTCTCCAAGGAATAAATGTTAGAAGCAGGAACACTTACTTTCCAGTAATAAATTGACTCCTGGAAGGTGTGCAAATCGGCTGGACATAGTAGTTCTCCAATTTAACTCCTTCGGCAGCAAGCTTGTCAAGAGTGGGCGTTTTTATCTCAGATCCATGGTAACCCACATCTCTAAATCCCTGGTCATCCGCTAGGATGAAAATTAGATGGGGCTGGGAGGTGGCAGTTGTGCTGGGCTCTAGTTTTTCTCCAGTTTGACCCAGGAAGGCCCCTTGCTCCTCCTCCTCCAAGCCCTGGCCCCAGGACAGGTAACCGTAGGTGAGGAGGCTGAGGATCCAGAAACCTGCCAGCGCCCCCATAGCTAGCACCTTCGCAGGCAGGACGCAGGCCTGCGAAGACGGCGGAGGCAGCGGCTCCGCGCAGCCCCTGGGGGCCATTCACTCGGGTCCCAGCTGACACTCCACGCGGGGAGCCGCGCACCCCGCGCACACATGCACGCGGGAGGCAGAGACCCAACAGACCGTGGAGGGTCTGCACCTGGAAAGAACTCTTCCTCCCCTCTCAGCTGTCACCATGTCCGACAACTTTAATCTTCTAGAAGTGATGGCTTAACGGATGGGAAACGGAAAAACAAGGAGTCGCTCTTTTCCAACAAATTTGCTTTCTCCTCCTCCTCACTTCCTAGGGCAACTTTCACACAAAAAGTTATCTCCACCCAGAAGTTCTCCGGAGGAAAAAATCAAGTAAGGAATTGAGAGTCACACGGGGCAGGGGCTATTGGCAGCCAGAGCGCCCCGGACCGTCCCGGCGCGCACGGGGCCTGGGGAGGATCGGCAGTCGGGCCGGGGGGCCCCAGGCCGGGAAAGCGCCGCGCAGCCGAGCCGTCGCGTGTGACTCCGGTCCGGGCAGGTGACACACTGCCATCGTGGGCTGGCTGCCCATCCCCGTCTCCACTTTCCAGGGCTCTCTGTTCCTCCTGGTCCAAGCTCCCCAACACTCCCAAGGCGGCGAAGTGAGAAAAAAGCCGTTTCCTGATCTCCCCCACCGCTAACCACCCCTCCTCTTCTAGAACCTCCGCGGCGACTCCTTGTCCGGCTCCTGGGGAGCGTGGGGTCCGGGGGGCCCCGGGGCAGCCCGCGCCGAGCGCACTCAGTCCCCGGAGCTGGCGCGGCCGGCGGAGGCGCCGCGAGCTGCGCGCGTTTCCCAGCTCACTACTGGGGCTTGGCTCGCCAGCTCTGTTGCCTCCTCCCTCCTTCCCTCCAGTGAATCACAGGACCGCACTGCTGCCTCGGCTCCTCCGGGAAGGGGGGCAAGGCCGGTTTAGAGGCTCGATCGGGCCTTCTTTTCCGGGTCTGGCCCGGGGAGGAGGTGCTGCGTGCTGCGCGAGCCGTGCGGGGTCCAGGGGGACCCGCCAGGCCACCACGTCCCAGGGTGTCGCCCGGGCCCCATAGTCCCACCGGGGGAAGGACGCGGGCCGGGAAGGGTGCGGCGGGCGCGTCTCGTCCTGGGTCTGTCGACGAAGAGCCCTGTCGCTCATGCCGAGAGCTGCGCCTGCAAACTTTCCTTGCTTCTGGAGAAAGTGACAGAAAGAGGAGGAGAAACAAGTTGCGTGGCGTCCTCTTTCCTCCTTCCTCTTCGGGTTTTCCTTCACTGGTTCCTTTCCCCCTGATATTCCCCCGCCTTTTCCACTTCTTTTGTCCCCGCCTCCTTTCTTTTTTCTTTCCTTCTTCTTCTTTTTTTTGGGGGGGGGGGAGTAACAGTCATGACAAGTTTTTAAGTTGAATATCCTCTCCCAAAAGCTGGCTTTTACAGCCTGATTTCTTCATCAACTTTTCCCGAAGTGAAGAGACTGAAATTGCCACACTGCCTTTTACCTGTCCCCAGACTCACCCACAGGGTGTCTCCAGCCAAACCTGGAGAAGAGTGTCTCACATGTCACCTCCGGAACCGCGAAGCCAGTCTGCATTCCTGCGTGAAGAAACCAGTTTCTCATCCAGTAAGTCGGGGAGTTTATTCTTTCTTTCTTTCTTTCCTTCCTTCCTTCCTCCCTCCCTCCTTCCTTCTTTCTTTCTCTTTCTTTCTTCAGTGTAGAGTAGAACCCTTGGACAAGTTTGTCTAGATTGTGAAATTCTGCTTTTACTAGAATCATAGAGTTTGAAAGGGATTTATGGTACAGTATCTCTTTGTAGAAGAGGCAACCAATTCCAAGAGCCACTGAGGTATTCTTTTCTTCCCACAAATTTATTCGACAGTTATTTGCTGAATACCTACTGTGGCTGGCACATAACATGTCCGATTCTCTCACAGTGCTCTAGATACCACCCCCCCCACACACACACAAAATTGACCCTGGTGTCAATGGGGGTAGTTCCAAGAATCCCCTCCCAGATACCAAAATCCATGGATGCTCAAGTCCCTTACATAAAATGGCTCAGTATTTGCATATAACCCCCACACATATTCCCTTATACTTTAAATCATCTCTGGATTACTTATAATACCTAATACAATGTATGCTATGTAAAATAATTGTTATACCATATTATTTGTATTTGTATTATTTTTACTGTTGTTTTTTTTTCCTCCAATATTTCTGATTCACAGTTTGCTGAATCCCAGGACATGGAACCTGTGAATACAGAGGGCCAACTATACATGCTTCATAGTTATTTATATAGTGCTTTATATAGTTTATTTCTTTTCCTTCTACATCGACCTTACAAGGTATTCTTCCATTCAACAAATACTTGAGGAGCTAAGCCAATGCTAGCAGCTGAGAACGTGATGGTGAACTAAATCACTCTCTGCTGTGGTAGAACCTGTGGTGGGGCAGAAAGACCAACAAATCACCCCAATACTCCAATAGTGACTTATGATATCAATATTCTGAAGAAAAGGAACACAATTCAAAGACATTTTAAAACAAACCTGAGTTAACCTATCTGTGTGTGGTTAGTGAGATGGTTCAGGAAAGTTACCTTTAAACTAAGGGGCTGTTCTTTTATTTGTCATCTCCTTTTGCAGAAAATTTAGACTTAGAAATCTATTTGACTTCCAAGCCCATGATTTTCAGAAGGTACTCTTCCTGCAAATGGGCTGTAACATTTTTGCCAGCCACAAAGCACAGAGAGATCGCAGCTTTCAGAGTTAGAATCTAGTCCTCACACGAGGTATGCAGACACCCTGTGCTTAGGATAGGAGGACAGAACTCTGGTCTTAAAAATCCATTTCTCAAGTAAACAGGACTAACATTAAGGGAGACCAAGAACTACATACACTTAGTAGGAAGAGCCAAGAAACAGTAACAGCCATTCCACAGTTGACCAAATGAGATGTGACTCAAAGTGGAAAATCGAAGTCAGCTGGGTGCCCTATCCACAGTGGGTAAGGGCTATTTCAACATCCCTAAGGAAGACATGGAGAATGAAATCAGAGGCTGTTGAATGCCCTAGGCTTTACTGTACATACAGTGGTATTATCAGTATGTGAACTTCGCATTTCTCATTGTAAGACTGGGTTTCATGTACCCTAAGCAATAGTTTTAGCATCCTCATGAAGTCCCAAGTTAAAGACCCTCTATAAGTTATTAGTTCTTTCCTGATTTTAGAATCAGCATTTTGTTGTTCAGGCATCAGCTTCCCCTACAAAATCCCATCTTAAGTTTATTTCACCTTGGATATACTCATATTACAAACAGATTCCTCTATTTTTGAATGGTTATATAAAAATTTAAGGTGCTATTTGATTCAGTAAAAAAATGAGAAGAATAGAATTGCTTAGGAATGATATTAGTATGTACAAAGTCTTCAGGTGACGCTTAACCAGGAGGTTTAGGAGCCGGACTTGGGAAGTGGGGGAGCCCACCTGGTCAGAACGGACAGGAGAAAACTGTGGAGGTCTGAGATGTGGTGACTGGGGAAATGCCTATCCCCTCCCAGGAAAGCTGCTCTGTCTGACTAGGGCGCGTCTTCCGGAGGGAGGGGGAGATTCTAGCCTGTGGCACCATAGCAACCAAGCGCAGGATGTTCAGGACCTGAGGGCACGGGCAACACAAGAGGGGTAAAGCTCACTCCCCACAGCCAGTCTGAGAAGTGCTGCCCCTCCCTCACAACCAGCCTTTCCGACTTAGAAAGTCAGCCTTGACCCTTCTCCAGTGGCTTCCCCGCTAGCAGCCAGAAAGACAACCTCTGAGCCCTGCAGAGTATTTGCAAAGCCTTCCAGACTCACACAACCCAACCGTGCCCAGCTCACCCCTCTACCCACCTCTGCTGTGTGGGAGATCAAGCACTCCCCTAGGAGCTACAAGGCCCTTCCCAAAGCCTGAGGCATTCAAGTGCTCCATGTGAGAGACTGGAGCTTATCATAGGCACAAAAGAACATCTCCGCAGTTGGCTTTCTCCTACAAGCATCAACCACTGATAGGGAGAACAACTCTATAGCGCATTACAGCATCTACCAAGTCAATCAAACAAGGCATGACTGATTCTTACAAGCATCACACACCATCTCACAGATTAAGCTGGGGATCCCAATACAATTCACACTGCTTTGAAGAAGGGAAGACAGCAGGATAGAAGCAACCCAAGGGGACACTGCTTTTTAGGAGTGAAACAAAAGTTACAGGAAGTTTGATCTGTGAGAGGTCTTCCTCCTCCACTGCAGACCTCTGGGCTGATTGGGGAGCTGCTCAGTGCCTGTGCAGAGACATTCTACTGGAGAGCAGGTGTGCAGAGAGCTGGTGCCTGCCAATGCCAGGTTTCTGCAATCAAGGCCATCCTGATTGTTCTGGTGTACCAAGCCAGGGCTACATGGGACCCAGCAATAGCCTTTGCATCCCCCGACCAAGCTGAGGAGAAAACAGGTGCTCCCCTGTGTAGTGCCATGTTACTAGGGGCTAAGCATGCCTCCTCTCTGGAACTGACCACAGCAGGAGCCCCAGACACCAAAGGCACCACTTGGGAAACCTGGGATGACTGCATCAGTGGGTTCTAGGTATAGGGGGGAGAACCTGGGCTGAACAGCAGTGCCAGACCACCTATGTGGACTCTAAGCCATTGAAACTGTGTGACAGGGAATCAGCAGTCCCCATGCTAGTGAAACAGCCCCCCATAAGGGTGGCTCTGCCCCTGAAATCCCCAGAGCCAGCTCTGAAGCTTCACTGTGCCATAGTCAGTAGCTCCAGGGACCCAACTGGGCCTGTGACTCCACCCCTGAGACTCCGGAATTATGCCTGGACCCCAACACCCCACTACTGAGTCCCCACCACTACTTGTGGGCCAGGAGAACCTCCCTGAGTTCCAACACTTCACTCAGGATTCCCTAGCCCTGAGCATCTGTCACTCCTGGACTTAGAGAGAGTCCCCAGCAAAGGAGAAGAGGTGCCCTGCAATCCTATTAACCCAGAGCTGAGAGAAGGGGAGCCAGATTAGAAGGAACCATAAAAAGAACCCTGGCAACATGAAAAAACAAAATAGTTTGACACCCCCGAGGGACACAATGGAGCTACAGTAGTGGACTCCATCCACAAGGAAATTGCCAAAATGACAGAAGTGGAATTCAGAATATGGATGGCAAAAAAGATGAATAGAATTGAAGAGAAAGTTGAAAACCACCAAAAAGAAACCAAAAAAATATTTCAGGAAATCAATGAAAAAAATGAAAAAATCACTAGAGAGCTAGACAGCATAAA